AAATTATAACATAAGAAGTTTTTTATAAAAATAATGTGATTATAAGTCACAATAACTTTTTTTTTATTTGTATTTTTTTATTAATTTATACAAAAATAAATTTAATTTCAACATTAATGACATGTACTATTTAATTAAATAAAAATAAAACTAAAAGTTAATTTTTATATTTTTATAATAATTATTAAAAACTACAATTAATACTGTATTCCAAAGTTGGTTTGAGTATACTTTTTTAACAATTCTAGATTTTTTTTCGTAAAGAATTAATTATTTTATAATTTTAATTGTATTAAATTATAAAATAAAAATATCTAAATAAAAATAGATTTTCAATATTAAGAATCTCATCTCTTATTTAATAATTTATATTTTATGGTATAATATAATTTAAGTTGTAGAATACCTTTTTTGTTTTTGTAAATGTTAATTCCAACTTCAAAAGAACTAAAACACTCTTCTAAGCTGAATTACATTTATATTTTCACTTGAGTTTAATAAAATTTATCAACTTCTAAGACTATTTATGGTCAACTTCTAAGACCATATAACGATCCTAAATTAAAAAATTAAAATAAAAGTTTGGGATTATAAAATGCTACTATAGTAAATTTCTTTCTTTCTATTTTTTTTACCATGGCAATTTCATAAAAGTGATTTTTAAGTTTGGTTTACATAAAATGAAAGTACAAAAATGCCAGTAAAATTATTTAAATATATACAATAAACTCTTAAATATTTATAATGAATAATTGATTCATTATGCTATTTAATTAAAAGTGATGATAGAAAAGATAAAAACTTAAAATAAAAATTTAAGATAATGATTTGTATAACTCATATTATTAAATTAATTAATACATATAATATTATAAATATTAAAAAATAAAAAAATTAATTATTACATAATATAACATTTACTTTTTTAATATTTTAATAATATAATTTATACTACATCATTAATTTAAAATTTTAATCTCAAAATTTATTCCAATTCATCATTATTCTTTAATTAATTCTCAAGTATTCATTAAGGGACTTCAGTTCAAAAAAAAAAAAAAAGAGACCAGGAATTTCCACCTTAAATGTTTTTTTTTTTATTCTGATCTACTGTTTAAGTCAAAGTCTTCAGATCGACGCCCACAGCTTCGACCTGCTTCATCATCCGGGGAAGGTGAATAAACAATTGTTGAAAAAATTGGATGTTGATCTTATCTTCCCCAACTGGGAGGTGGTAAAGCAAACCCTTCTACTTTTCGTTGCCATTTCTGCAACAAGTTGGAACCTTTAAGACGTTTCATCATCTTTGGAAACTGAGGCAGAGGGCGGAATGGATTCGATGAAAAGTCAAGAGTCATTGATGGAGACTGAACGCGCTTAATCCGGTTTGGAAACATAGAACCCGTCCAAAAAAGGAGGACAAATTAAAGCAACGGAAGAGGATTTGCGGTTTGGTTTTTTTAAAAGGGATTCTTCTTGGTCTTTTCTTCTTCGTGTTTTCATTCTATCCAAACGTCATCTCCTATCTGTTTCAAAGCCCTGATTTTATCGTTTCATACATGACTTTTTTTCCTTTGAAATTTTTTATTTTCCTTGTGTGTGCTGAGTGATTTCTGTATTAAATCTGTCTTGCTTGTTTCTCTTTTTTTCTGGGTTTTCACAGCTTGTTCCCTTGTTTCTACAATTCATTCCTCTCTGTTTCAAGCACGTTCTTGTTTTGTTCACATTTTCATATAACTATTTTCATCTGGGTTTTTCTTGATTTCTTCGTTCCTTGTATAATTTGCATCTTCTCCTGCACTCTTAGCTCAATTTTTTCTTTTTCTGTCTTTGGTGCTTATACTCTTCTGGGTCACTGAATTTCCCTTGTTTTCTCCTGTTTCTGAGTTGGGTATTTTTGTTTATATTTCACTCCAACGCCATGTTTTTGATGGGTTCCTTGAATTTTAGTTAAATGAGGGACCATAGAATAGCCACAGCAATTTGAGATTGGGAGATTTGATTATAGGGCTTAGAAATGAAGTGCTTTTGTTTTTTTTTCAAGGACAAATCAAAGAACAAAAGAGAAGCAAATTCTGATACAGTATTGAAGGACAAAAGTAAGTCAGAGAATTCAGCTCGTAATGGTTCCCATAGATCTCAGCCATCTCCAAGGACCATACCAGAGTTGTACAGGGAGAATGAGCATAATTTGAGAGTCTTCTCCTATGAAGATCTAAGGGATGCAACACATTGCTTCAATAGGATGCTAAAGCTTGGAGAAGGTGGTTTTGGGAGTGTGTATAAGGGCACGATTAAGCCAGCCGATGGTCAGGGTGAGCCTACAGTTGTTGCAATTAAGAAACTCAACAAGCTTGGTTTACAGGTACCAGCTGCCATTGATTTGTGCCTTCTTTACCATGCTTAAATTTCTTTTCATAAGGTTGCCTTTTATATGTAATCTAGCGTGGCATTCAGGAATAACCCCTAATTATTTATAACACACTAGGAAACTAACAATGGTAATGATATAAGAAAAGGATCCTATTCAGGTTTTGGTTTTGAGTGAATATTTATGCTGATATATCTGCACTTTATTCATGCAGTCTATTAACTCTTTATGATGCTTGTCCACATAATTTGCAGGGTCATAAACAGTGGCTTGCAGAGGTTCAATTCCTCGGTGTTGTTAGTCACCCAAACCTCGTAAAACTTCTAGGATATTGTTCTGTTGATGGGGAGAGGGGGATCGAACGGCTTTTGGTATATGAATTTGTGCCTAATAAGACCTTAGAGCATCATCTTTTCACCACGGCATTGCCTGTTCTTCCATGGAAGAGAAGGTTAGAGATTATGCTTGGTGCAGCCCAAGGATTGGCTTACTTACATGAGGGATTGGAAGTGAAGGTACAATATACTCCTTTTTACCCAACTTTTGCTGAGTATCAAGTGATGATGCCTACTAATTTAAATACATTACAAATGTTATTGATATTGAGCTTTCATGCTGATAACAAGGACTAAGATCTAGCTTGGGGGCTGTAGTAGTTGACCTACTCTAGTTTTTTTCACATGTGGTTAATTTGATGAATGTCGGGTATGGTTTCATATGTTTTAGAAGGGTATGCTTTTATCTGCATGTTATTCAAAGTTTCTACTTGTGCTCAATGGATAGGTTATATATCGAGATTTCAAATCCTCAAATGTCCTCTTGGATGAAAATTTTAAGCCAAAGCTCTCAGATTTTGGGCTTGCCAGGGAGGGACCAACTGGTGATCGCACACATGTGTCAACTGCGGTAAGTAAACACTAAATGAGATGGTTTCTTTGTAAGCAACTTACGAGTGTGGGTTTTGCTTGATCATATTGCAGTGTTGCACCATGCCACGTTTTTGATAAATCCTTTATGAATTTCCTTCTGTTTTGCAACAGGTGGTTGGGACATATGGATATGCTGCTCCTGAATATGTAGAAACTGGCCATCTCACCATCCAAAGTGATATATGGACCTTTGGGGTAGTCCTTTATGAAATCCTCACAGGTAGACGAACAGTGGAAAAAAATCGCCCAACAAGGGAGCAGAAGCTTCTAGACTGGGTAAAAGAGTTCCCTCCGGACAGTAAGCGCTTCACCATGATAATCGATCCTCGCCTCAGAAACCTGTATCCCATCAATGCAGCTCGAAAAATTGCCAAATTGGCCAATAGCTGTCTGGCTAAAAATGCAAAAGAACGACCAACAATGAGTCAGGTGGTAGAGAACTTGAAGCAAGTAATAGCAGAATCAGACCAAGCAAGCACTTCTCAGAACGCTAAATCTTCACCTAAAATGGCGAAGCAAGGACCAAAGAGGGTGAGTATAAAACATTTGTGATCTCAAGCATGCTATATCTGGGTTACTTCATTGCTAATTTGCTATTCTTTGTTTTTTTTCATTTTGGCAGGTTTAAATGTTTAGATATTAGGCTTAAAAGACTGATTCCATCAGACTTTCCAAAACCCTCTTTTTCTTGCCGATTATGAAATTCATTAATAAAATAGTTTGTGAGTTGTGAGTTGTGAGGAATAACACAAGGTACATAGGCACATAGAGAGAGGTGTGGACTGTAGATTATGGTATGGGATTGTAATTTCTTTATGTAAGAAGATGTTGTATTAAATTTATTTTTTTAAAAGAATTTTCAGTCCAGGAATTATAAAATGAATAAATTGTTGTGCAATCTAGACTACATGGCAAGAACCATTTAATTAGAGGTAGATTTTCTAATATTAGGGACCATATACCTACTTCACAATCCTTATTTTGCAGTTTAGAGTGCAAAACAAGAACTTTTATAGAATATTGTTTAAAATTTTTTGATTCATTAACATAGCTTAATTTTGGCTGAAAAAAACGAACATGGCATAATTAATTGGTAATAGCAAGAGCAAAGAGGTCACTCTAGCTTTACCTTAAAGCCTAAATGGCTTAATGGAAAACCACAAGGACTCAATTGATTTGGAAACTACATTTTTGTCTTAATTAACAATTACGAGAAATTTTGAGGACTAAACTATATATCTGTTCCCAAAAATGTAACTGACTCACGAGTTGGCTCACTGAGTTGGTGAGTTTCAGAATTTACTTCATAGTTCACTTCATACCCAAACCCTTAGAAAAACCTCCGAGTCCGAGAGCTCAGACTGCGTACTCCTGGTTACCAAACTTGACCAAAAATGGAGAAATCTTTCACTCTCATTCAAACAATCGCCACAGCTGGTGTCTTCTCCGGCATCTCGTTCTGGTATTGATTCCCTCTTTCCGTCACTTTATCTGGAATCGGCTTTCCATACACCTTAGTTAGCGACGACTTATTTCTCCATTTTTGTTTCAGGTACGGTTTCATGTTCGGTAAAGAGTCTGCTCGGAAAGAGCTCGGCGACTTGATCGAAAGCCTCCGTGGCAATAATTCCAACTCTTCTTCAGCTCCTCCTCCGCATTCTTGATCTGTATGTGTAAGCAAGAACTCCTTGATGTTCGATGAATTGTATCTGTTTTTGAAAGTTTTTTACTAATTCAAATTGTGAATGTCTGAATCAAATACTACTTTTCACTTAATTGTGGCAAATTCAGAATCATGGAAGCATTAACTCAAGGCACATGAATTTGGCTAGAACTGGACTGTAGGATCTTGTTAATGCGGACAGTGGTTAGAGGTGCTTCCTTTCGACTTCTTTAGCAGTGTATATTTCATGTTTCTTAGATTATCCTCGACCAAGGAATGTGTTTTGCAGTAGTGGATAACTGTGAGACCTTCGCATGTTGTCTTTATTTTGTCAATTACTATCTTCCCATGGTAACAGAATGTTTGGAAATTAATCAATTTAGAAGAGCAATTTTATTTTTACTATGATATGTGACACCAAGTTCCTGGGTGACATTCTTTGATTTTAGTTGTAGACATTCGTGAATCAACGAAGATAAAGTTCTTTTTTAGCATGGAAAATGTTGTGGGCTAATTCAATCCCTGTAAAACAACTTCAAATGAAGATTAAAAGACTTAAAGTACACTGAATGATTAAAACTCATCTCCATAGATGATAGGGAGATATAGATGCTGTTTTCTTTCTGATATATTTTGGCTTTACGCATTTCCATGTATGGATATGGTGCCAAAATTGTGATGTATATACACTATACTGCTCTTTCTCTTTAGATTAATAATGCACTAATCTATATAACATTGAGTTTTCTTATTTAAGTTGCATCTAATCTAATTCTATACAAGAGCAGCCACCTTTGTTTTCTTGACATTCTTTTCTCTGATATGTCCAACATAAAGGTTTGTCCCACCAGAGTCCAATTCTGAAAGTCTTGTTTTCCTGCCTTCTTCTGACATGCATTTCACAAATTCTACCAAGTGGCACCAATTGTCCCCTTCAAACAACCTTTTATTCATTCTTAGATATGTAAATGCCCTCAATCCTTTGCCAGCATCTGATTTACTTGTTGCCAAAACTTGTCCGTATGCACCTGCATCATACCTCTCCAATGCATTTTCTCCAGCTAGTTCTATTCCAGCTGTCCTTGTTGCCATCTTTACTTGCCTAACCAAGCCTTCAGGGGAGCAGTTTGCGCTTTCTGGTTGTTCTCCATCTTTCATCTCCATGCATGTGAAGTTAAACACAGCTCCATGTTTACTCAACATTCTTGCTATAGGCAGGTAGCCATCTCGATATCTAGTGTTATAGTATCCTGCTGTTAGTTCAGCAGCATGAGACCTTGCTTTATGATGCCAGTGAATTCCAGCTATTTTTCCAGACAGTTCTGCTCCAGTCCCTTGGAATATTCCTTTTGCTGCTGAAAGCATTCTATCTCCATGCTCTAGTAGCTTTCCAGAGTACCATTCCAGGAAGAATTGTCCATACCCAGAATTCCATGTTCCATCTCTTTGGAAAAACCCTGTATCTTCAGGAAATTGATTGTACTGACCAGAGTCGTGAGGTCCACCCTTTCCCCACTCTTTCTTCCCAATGGCTTCTGCAGATGCTTTGAGTGAAGATCTCATGTACTGTTTCAAATGGAAGCTTGTTTAGACATCAATATACCCACATTCAATGACTTAAATTTTGTATAATATTTTCATTTTTTGGTAGTTGATTGTCTAAATCACTCTATGTTGCTATTTTGTGTGATCTATTGTGTGGCCTGTAATACGTCAATTTAATGAGCCATCAATCTATTGACTGTTCACACATGGACAACTATATTTTGGCTTACTTAGAAAAAGAGAAGTAAACAAGAAATTAAAATTTGAATTACCAAAAAATACCTTGTCATAGCATTGGAACTCTCCAATCCCTGGAAACCTCCATGTTCCATTGCTTTCTGGATAAGATGGGTATCTGAGCTCCCCACAAGGACCCATCCCCACTTGAATTTCCTGAGACAGAAAATCAATTTGAATATTTAATGCTTGTAGGAAAATTTGCCTTAATTGCTTGCATTAAAAAAAAAAAAAAAATTAAAGTGTATAACACTAAACATTGACACTGACCTCTTTAAACTTGATTCTAGGTGTTGGTGGTCCACAATTTGGACAGATATAGGCTCTAATTGATTGATGGTATTACTCTTTTATATGTTTAATTCTGTCTTCTACCTTCTTTCATTTACATTAGCCTCCTTCTCTGCATCATTTTCAGCGGAAAAAAAAAAATAAAAAGAAAAAGAAGATCATGTTACTTGATATTTTGTACAACTGCTTTCTAGTTGAGAAGAACATGTGAAATAGGTGACACATTTTTTTTTTTATTTCTTCATGAATACATGGTGATTTTTTTTTATTGGTTGCTTTTGCACGAGAACTATGTTTTACAAGAGCTAAATTTTTTACCTTTTTTACCCTTGAAGTATGATATTTGTTTTTATAGTATGTAGAATATCAAAATCTATGATACTCTGTGATTTAAGATCTATATTATGCTTTAATGCTTTACACCTTGATATGTTAAAAGGATTGGACATTTAGAATCATTATATGAAGCTCTTTTCATTTGCTTTTCTTGCTGGGATTTTCCCTATCTGACTTTTTGAGGCATGACTGAGTGTAACAGGCTATATCTTGTGTCATGTTATTTGTAGTGTGGTAGGGTATGAGAGTGGAAGGTGCTAGACAAATCATAGAGGATATATAATACATAGATTGTTTCATCATAGAAGGAGATGTCATTATTTTGTGCGACCTAAACTTTAAATCTCTCCAAGTTCTGTATGTAGCAGAGAATGTACTGTAAAGTGTGAAAAAGAGTAATATCTTAACGTAGGATAATAATGGGTTCTGTTTCTCTAGGAGAAATATTTGAGGGGAATGAATTCAAGATATTTTCTTCTCTCTTTATTGATAAGCAAAATTTATCCACAATCTACTAAAATAGCATAATTTACATGAGCGTAGATGATGGTTACCACAATAATTCCACCCAAGTATTTTCTGAACCTGTCATGGAAGCTCCTCATGTAATCAGTGTAAACCTGAACTGGTGTTCTTCCTCTGAGCACGGGTATTGTGTCACAACCCAAGGAGATATATTCAGGATTCCTACGGCCTGATTTATCTGTGTAGACAAGATCAGGGTTCTTGCTGATTTCTTCTAGTACCCATGGAGGTAGAGGAATGCTGAAGTTTAAAGGAAGATTAACAAATATTTTATTAGAAGATCTTTGGGAAAATAAAATTCATGTATCTTTAAGTTCTTAAGTAGTAACTGGAGAAGTAATAGAAATGTTGGAAGATTGTTTGAGTCACTTACCTGCAAGAGTCTCCAACATTCCCTCCACACTGATGGAAAGACATTACTACCTGGATCTTCAGGCCATGCCTTTGCACCATCTCCACAAGCTCAGCATACCCATCCCAGTTGTACTTCAAAGGGCCATCTTTCTCAACCAAGCCCCACCACGCATCCACCATCACTCCTTCCACACCTGCACCCTTCAAGGCCATCAAGCTAGCATTCATTGCTCTTGGTTTATTCAGGTTCCCCCCTAGTGTTATTGTGTCAAGGGGCAACATCACAAAAACAGGCACTTTAGAGTCATTTCCATTATAAGCACTTGTTAGCCCATGGAGCTGAACCCTTCCCTTGGTATTCCATTCCCCTGTGCTAAAGATTTTCCCATGTGAGAGTTCTGCTTCCTGCGATGAATTCTTTCCTCGTAGATGGCATGATGGCTTTATATTTGCAAAGCAAATTGTGCCTGAGAAGTCATCTGGAGTTTTTAGGCTTCTTGGGTCTTTTAGATTAATAAAAGAAGTTGAAGAATGTAGGGTTAAGGCCATATTTCTCTTTGGTGTTACTAGAACTGAAGAGAGGGAAGAAAGATGTGGGAAAAAGTGAAGATTGTGTATGTTCATTTATAAGAAAAAGAAACTTGGATTAAAGTGCTTGAAGGAGACAGTGCTGGTGGGCTCTGGTTTAGAAGAGAAAAAGTTCATAAGGACAAGGAAGGTCAGCTGAAAAATCTCAAGGTCATTTCCATAAAAAACGTTTACTTTTTTCCATAAAAGTTTCAGCCTTTATGGTTAGCCATCACAAATTGGCAGAATTGCCCTTGCTTGTTTGCCTGTCAGCTCTAGGGTATATGAGTCGTCATACTTTTTTAGATTTATAAACTGACTTTTCTGTTTTTTCACATAATCAAGCTGTTAGATGGACCAAATAGATTGTTTAATATTTGAAATGTAAAACCTCTGTCCTTTTACATATTATAATACATAGTGAATATCTTTAAGTGTGATACTTTGAACTTTGAAGTGCCATATTAATTGGAGCAATTACAGTACAAAGGTTTTTTTTTTAAAAAAAAAAAAGAAGATAAAATTCATTTATGTTTATTGTAATGCAAGTGAACTCTGTTTCTCTATATTTTACTCAACTGAGTTTTAGTCCATGAAGCTCTGCCAGGTACTCTTGATGTCTGCTTCATGATATCTTCTATGATGGTATCTCTTTAATTTTATTCATGTCTTTTATGTTATGTACGAGTGGATATTGTGCCCTTTGTGGATCATGGAATTCATTGCTTGCAAATCCAAAGTATCTACATCTTTATACTCATTTGGAAGTACAGTTACTGATCAGCAGTAATATTGTGGTCGTGTTTTCACTGTGGAAAGCCTTCAATGGCTGTTGAATGTGGAAACAGAGTTTTGTGTGTTTGACTACATAATCAACAGACCAATTTTAAATTATTAGGATATAATTGCAAGCATTTGTAATACTCAGCTGTGTCTCTTTGTTTCTTTGCAGCTCCAGTGAAGTAGGGACCTCCTCTTTCTGGTTTCTGACAATTGCAGGCAAGCATGGTGTCTCTTGCTCTTTCTCTTAGTAATATGTTTAGTTACATCATATATTATGCATCATTTGTGACATTTGTGCAACCATTCATCTGCAAATGAATGCTTGTGGTGAATTGTCAGTGGCAAAGAAGAAATATGTAGATAGAATTAAGGTGGTGGGTCCTTGTTTAGTGGAAAAGTAATGCCAAATCTCCTGTCAGTGTGTACCACTTGACATAGCTCTTTTGTTTGAGGTCTATAAAACCCAGCTTTTGGTTGGCCAACCAATTCTCACTTCTCATGTCCACCATGACATTTTTCTGTGGAGCAAATTAGACCTTATCTCTTCATGTCCCTCTAGGAAAATTGTATGAATAATCATGATAGTGGGGAAAAAAAAGGAAGGTTGACATCCTTTTAGAGTTGTAAGCTAGAGACAAATAAGGGGTCGGGATAGGTATAAGAAAAATGAAGAACAGAGAAGAAAGATTCTATGATTAGGTGAACAAATTATGAAGTATGGACCATGCTTTGAGGTGTTTTATACTTTGCTTTGAGAACATAACACAGACTGATGTTTTTGCTTATTAAGGGCTGTGCTTCTCTAACAGTGCATCTCTCTTTTTCATTAGGAATCAAAGGTTTTGGAATTGTGGACAGTTCATGTGCATCTCCCATGTGATATGGCTAGGGTCCTTGAGTGACAGAGAATCAAAGCCATTGGACAGACTCAGGTAACTTCTCTTCCTTGATGAGAAATTTGGATATAGACAAAGAATGCAATAACTTCTTTCTTGCTCATATTGTTCTCTTAATTTTGAAAAAAATACAATAAAATGAAAAATCTCTTTCATCCATCTCTAGATGGTAGTCGGCACAAAGCAAATTGAAGTTGCTATATTGTCTTCTAGTCTTAGAATCAAAGTCGAAATGGTCCCAAAATACTTGTTTCTTTCCATTCTCTTGCATGTGGTTTTCCCTTTTCTGAAACGTTTCTACTTCAAATTCCATACAAGCCTCTCAATGGACACCTTACCTGGGTGTGCAGTTGCGGTCAATTAACGCGAATTGTAAAGCACGTTCTCTCTCTCTCTCTCTCTCTCTCAAAACTTTTAAATGTCAAATTTTAGTCCCTCAGCTTTTTTTTTTTGCTTTTTTTTCCTCAATTTTGAAAAATGTATATTTATTGTCTGTTAAATTTATTAAATTTGTCTAAATTTATACATTTTTAGTCCATGAATTTATAAGTTTATAGATTAAAAATGTGTATATATGAATAGATTTAACAGATTACTTGATTTAGAAACAGTACAAAACCCTTGAAGTTAAGTGATTAAACAGTGGAATTTAATTTTAGTTTTTTGGTGAGGGGTGGGGGAGGAATTTGAACCTTCCAGTTTCCAAGCCCAACAAGACATCTTATAAAAGGCAAGAAACGGCCCAACAATAGCGGAAGGCATAAAACAAGGCTCAATTTTGTGGGCCTTGGCCCAAATCAAAAGACTCAGACGTGGAATCCTAACCCAGCATTACCATTGATTTGAATTTTTTGGCCCAATACTATTTTTGACATCGAAGCGAAACCCAGAAATACACATCATTCCCCAATCTGCCAATTGAAGAAATTTCTTCCCTCCCAAGCACATTGTAATTTTTACTAGAAAAATCTGACCGATTCTGAGCCCATAAAGGGAAGTCTAACGGGCTGCATGGCCAGAGCGTAGCTGGCACAGGAATCAATCCTTGTTTCCTTGGTGGGAAGCTGTTAGCTACCATTCCTGGCTGCAGGCTCCTCAAAATGGCTCAAACTTTAATAACATAACAAGCAAAAACTTTTCCTCAGAAAAGCTCTCTTTTCTTCCTTTCCCAAATTCCACTCCAACCCTCTTTTTCTCCTTCCAAAAATTGGTAAAGAAATGCAAAATTAAATTGAGTTTCATGAAATTTATAACATCCTAACAAACTCTGAGATTCACCGTTGAAATTTTATTGGAAAAGCAAAACAAGATTATCATTCTTATGGATACATCAAGAAGAGATAAAAATCCTCTCCTTTGTTGTTTACAGTACCTTGGGGATACATTAGCAGTACAAGCCATTAACAAACTAAACTCTAAAGAGAGGGAGAGAAAAAAAAAAAGAGAGCCATATCATAGAGTAGAAACAAGCTAACTCACATCCTCTTCTTATATATCAAGATTCACAATTTAGAGCTTTGAGCTTTCTCTCTATTTTTTCATTAAAAAAATATTTTTGAAAAAAACCCCTCAGAGGGGGCTTCTTCTTGTTCATCTTCATCGTCATCTCTCTCCTTGGCCCTTCTTTTCTTTTATAACTTTTTTTTTTTTTTACTATTTATATCTAGTAATCCGGTAGGTATTTCTTAGAGAGAGGTAATTCAAGCAGCTGCTACAGTGCTAGTTCTGAAGGGGTAGTCTTGTGCTCTGGTTGGCGAAGGAGATTTTTTCTGGTCCTTTTTTCTCAAGGCTGTGATGGAAGAAGAAAAGTTCAAGTTCTTCTCTTTCGCTTCATCCATGTCTATTTGCTCTTGTCTGCACTCTTCACTGCAGAATGGTGTATCCCCTCTGCAAAAATATCACCAAATTACCCATCAGATAACCAAAATCCACACTTAAAATTTGGGAAAGAAACAAAAATGAAAATTCAAAGCCCATTTCATTCTAAGATTTTCAAAGACAAATCTCAAACCAAGGAAAGTTTTAAAGATAAAAAAGAAAAATTATAAATCTTATTGACCCTACAGATCTTGTAGTGAAAATAGATCAGAAAATTTGATAAAAACATGTTGGTTTTTCCCCTAAATTCTCCATTAAAATCTCCCCAAAACATGCAAATTTCCAGATTCTTCCACTCGAATGCACAAACAAAGATAGACCCTGTAGAAATATGGCTAACCTGTACATAAAGATGTCTTTATTATCCCCAAGAGGCTTTTTACAGAGAAAACATGAATCCAAGAAATGGGGCTGCTGATCCTCAAATCTAGCGTCGTAGAACCTAGCAGATCTCGGAGAAGGAATGGAGGAAGCGAGATTCCTCAGGCTACTCCGCCGTGTGTAACGAAGAGACCTGGAAAAGAAAGCATTGTGACTATGACCGGAAAACCCAGCTTCCATATCAGCAAGAGAAGCCAAGCCATCATCTTCTTCTATGAAACAAGGCCTCCTTGCAACTCCAGTATACTCCATTTTTGGCTCTGGTTTAGTTTTTTCCACGTTAGGAAGGAAGAAGAAAGAGAAAATAGGTGTGAAAGGAAGATGGGTTGGTTAAGAAAAAAGGGGTGAAGGTTTTATAGCGAAAACCCCTCAGATAGTTAGGGGAGAAGAAAGAGAGAAACACTAGAAACAACGGCAGATTTCAAGAAATCCGTGCGTGTGAATCCATTGGCTCAAAAAACCAGCATTACAAGTTTTTTTTAATGCTATTTTCAGTTTGGTGGTTATGGTGTTTTGCCCATTCTGCCCTAAACTGACTTTTATATCAAGATGCCATTTTGATGAAAAAGCTGGGATTTATTAAGGTTTTTTTTTCTTTAATTGTATTAAATTATAAAATA